CTGCAGTGTTTGATGTGCTAATGATCCCATCCAGAGATTTTAAAAATTTCAGATGTTATATTTTTCATCTCCAGAAATCCTATTTGCTGCTTCTTAAAAAAGAAAATAATAATTCTTCAGTTTCCTCTCCTGTTGTCTTTTCCTTTAAACCCTTGAACATATTGAGTGTATTTATAATAGTTGTTTAAAGTCCTTATCTGTTAATGCCATCAATTTTGTCCTTTCTGGAATGTTTCTATCGACTGTATATTTTTCTATTCCTTGGCATGTCTGTTACTTTTTGACTGGATTTGTTGAATTTAAGGTTGTTGAGTCGTGGATTTGTCGTAGTCTTTTAGAGGGATTTAGACATATTCAACAGTCTCTCCACTTTGGCTGCAGGGAATGCAAATGATTGTTAGTCTTGTGTGAGCTCTGAGAATTGCTTGGCTTACTGCTTCCCAATAAATGGTTTCTCCTGGCCTTGTTGTTTTACATGACATAGTCACTGGTTTTTATTCAGCTAAAGATTCAAGGGTACTCCTCTGCAGATTTCTGAAGCTTTCTTCATGAATTCCACCTCAAAAGTTCGAAACAACTTGGCCTCCTCAAGTCCCCTAAACTCCAAGTCCTGAGTTCTCAACTCAATAAGACCCCTGTCTTCTGAGTGAGACCCGAGGTCTTTGAGTTCCCTCTCCCTGCACCACAAACTGGAAATTGCCTCTATGTGGGAAGCCAGGGTGTCATAGGGTTTATCTTGTTTCTTTTCTCAGGTGCAACAGTCCAGGACTGACTTTTGTCCAATGTCTAAAAACGTTGTTTCATACATTATGTTCAGTTTTTTAATAAGTCCGGACTCATTTCTTCTTCTCCAGAAGAGGACGTCTTAATTATTTTATAAATGTTATTTGTTATGGTTAAGATTCCCCTCTCTCTATGGTACTTCTCGTTTTTTTCTTCTTAGGAAACGTTGATGAAATCATTTACTGTGGTGGTATCCTCTAGTGACTAGAGTCCAGACTCTTGAGTAACTTCGATGGGAACCTCCACTGCCTCCGCGCAGGGTTACCTAAGCCTTTTTTACCCGCGCACTCCTCCCTTCCCTCCGCACACTCCTCCCTTTCCTTCTTCCTCCCGCCCAAGCCCGCCGACGCGCTCGCGTTCCGCGCGCGCCGGCTCACTGCGCCTGCGCGGCGTGTAGACGCCACACGCTCCCGGAAGTGGGAGGTGTCCGCTCGATTTGTGTGGACGCCGCCGCGGGAACGCGAGCCGGTAATTTTTCGACGGAGAAAGGCGAGGCTTTTGGACTTGGCCGAGTGAGAGTGAGTGTCAGGCTCCAGCAGGTCTCTTCTTACTTGATACCCGGCATGGAGGATGAGCAGAGCAAACAGCCTGGCGGCGAGGCCGTGGCTCCCGCGCGGCAGCAGTCGCCGCGGTCGGAGTCCGGGGAGGAGCGGCAGCATCCGCATCCCGAGGTGAGGAGTCCGCCCTTTCTTCTAGGGTGTTTGCGGAAACCGCAGCCTGCGTGTCCTTGGACCCGAGCCCCGGCCGCTTTTCCTGTTCCAAGCTCTGGGAGTCTTTACTCGGGGTGGTTGTCATTGAGCCCCCCCTGTGGTCCCGAATTACCTTCTGGACCAGAGCAAATAGTCAAGTATGTAAACTGTGGTTTTATAAATTATGAGTGAGAATTCTGATATGAACGTTCTGTCCAGCCCTGATCGGTAATTGGTAGGTTGTTATTTATTTATTGTGAAATAAACATTTTTAAAATTAGTTTCAGCTGTACAACACAGTGCAATAGTTATACTTTTTTATCCCTCAAAGTGACAACCCCCTCCCTCAATCCGCCGCCCCACTCCCCCGCCATACCATACACATGTATTACAATTTCCTTGATTCCACTCCCACACTCTACTCCATGTCCTGTGACTATATATATATTCGCTTATAGTTGACGTACAATATTATACAACATCAGCTTCAGGTGTACAGTGCAGGGATCAAACCTCTACCCCATCCATGAGGCGGCCTTTTTTTTTTTTTTAAAGCATAGTGTGCTTTAGGTATGTCACTTAAGATCTTAATTAAGCCCACCTTCTTCCAGCCTTAACAAAAGGTGATTGCGCCTGTTGTAGNCTTTATTCTAAAAAACATACCAAGGAAGGAAGCAGGTCTCATAGAAGGCAGAATTGAACAAAATCTGGAGTTTTGGGGGAAAGATTCTAGAGATGTAAAGCTTAGTCTCAATCCTAGAAAAAAAAATCACAGAAATTAGCCTGGAAAAGCCCTGAGATGAGCACAAGCACAGGGTGTTGAGGGACTGAAAGATATTAATATGGAAGGAAATAGAAGGTATTTCATGCCAAATCTGGAAAGAAGCACAACCCAGATCATTTTGAACCTTGCAGCCATCCTGACTAAGGAATGTGAAGAAGATGAAAAGCCAAAAGTGAATCCCATATTTCTGTCCTGATCAACTGTGCAGACTGTAGAACCATTTGCCGGGAAAAGAAACTACAGAGAAGTGTAGTTTTTGGTGGGAAGATGAGTCTACTTTCAGATATGCTGAGTTTCGAGTGTGTGTGAGTAGGCAACTAGATATGTGGATCTGGTGCTCAGAATTAAGATCTTGGGTGGAAATATAAGTTTTGGAGCCATTGGCAAATGGATAGTAAATAAAGCTACAGGAATGAATAAGAACACCTAGGGTGAAAGTCTATACTGAAAAAGTAATGTAATAGAAAAGAAGAGAGTCTAAAATCCAGCCCTGAAAGAATTACTACATTGAACAATTGAGTATAAGAGGGGGAACTGACCAGGGAGAGTAACAAGGAATGTCAGAGAGAAAGGAAGGAAGCCAGGCAAGTGTGTTGTCATGGAGACCAAAGTAAGACAGTGTTTCAGTAAATAAAGAACGACCAACAATGTTGGATGCTGTTGAAAGGTCATGTAAGATGAGCTCTGACAAGAGCCTACTAGGTTTAATCACATGGAGATAATTGTTAACTTCAATGAAGTCAAGGCCCTGGACTGTCGGAGTGGAATCCAAATTCGGGTAGGTTGTATAGTAAATGGATGGTGTGGGAAAAGAGACTTTTTTCAAGACGTTTAGTTCCAAAGGGGAAAAGAGAGAGCAAGAGTGTACAGCAGCTGTAGGATTACTGGGGTTGAAGGAGTTATTTTGTTTGCCTTTTTAAGTTGGAAATTTTTGAGTTGAGCCTGTTTAAATACAGAAGGGAAAGGCCCATTTGCAAGGGAAAGATTGAAAATACAGAAGAGACAGTGGATAATGCAAAATTCAATCGGGGTTAATGATAAGCAGTTCTAAACCCTTTCTTTTAGGGAGGCTTTCCCCTTTAGTTGTCCAATTAGGACACATATTTTCTTAGGCAGAAGGCACTAGCTAGCATCATTGGGATTTCTCCGTTGGTGGTATTATATATGGAAAGTAACAGCGGAGTCAACATATAAAAACATTTGGGTCCCCTACATGCAGATATCACAAAATCAAAGGGAAATACAGGTGGTATGACTTAGGATGGTTCAATTTACAATTTTTCAACTTTGCGATGGTGTCAAAGTGAACCACATTCAGCAGAAACCGTACTTTGAATTTTGAATTTAATCTTTTCCAGGGCTAGTGATATGCAATAAGATACTCGCTTGTGGTGCTGGGCAGTGGCAATGAGCCACAGTGCCCACTCAGCCAGATGATCACTAGGGTGAACAACCAATACTCTACAGTGTAGAATATTTTTACTTATGGCATTTTTAACTTGAACAATGAGTTTGTCAGGACCTAACCCCATCTTAAGTCAAGGAGCATCTGGAAGGGGATACTGGTATTTCTTGAAAATCCTGGGCACGTTCTCAGCTCAGAGCTTTTATTTGTTACTTGTTTTGTCTGAAATTATCTATCACCAGATATCCTCAAAGTTTGCTCCCTCAGGTCCTTCAGGTCTTTGCTCAAATAGCATATCGTCAGAGTGACCTCCTATAAACACTCTTTAAAATTGCAGCCCCTATCTCCACATGGGCATCTCCCCATTCACCTTATCTGCTTAATTTTTCTCTATATTATAAACACTTTATTTTTG